GATTCAAATTAGCCGCAATTAATTATGGTACTAAGAAGGAATCTCAAGTCAAAACAAAACATTGTCGCTTAATGTGCGATCATCAATAAACATTGCGCTAAAGGAATTGCAACAACTACAACAGCAACAACATCCCACACGCTGTCTGAGCCATGTTCAATGTGTCCAAAAACCCGCTGCACAATAGCCCCCCAAACAAAAAGAACTCAAACAGTTTAAGAGACAGCTGAATTAATGAGCGTGTCTACGGAGAATAAAAGATATTGCCTGGTTCTAGCCAAGAAAAAGAAACACGAATTAACGCATACAAAAGCCGCCTAGAATCAAAAGTAAAAGTTTATACTCCAGCTAGTTTGGCTACAACAACAAATGGGCGTGTTCGTTCAGTGCTGACTCGAGGTTACCCTGGAAAAAGGAGAAACACAAATCGTCGGCTATTAACTATAATCGTATTATGTGATGTTGATATTTATTTTTTATTAAAATTTATTTTTATTAAAATATTTATATATTTTTTTCTATTTCTTTCAATATCTTTAATTTGTATTAATTTACTGACAGTTGCTTGAGCCTTGACTAACTTTGGCGCCAACAATGCAGAAGAAGATTTTAATTTGATTAATGAGCTGACGGAAAGTTTGATTGATTGTTGATCAATTCATAGTCGAAATGTTTAACGTCTAGAAAGCTGAGCATTTGGTTTTACAAATTAGTTTTAGCTCAAGTGACCTGAAGTTAGCATGACAAAGATCTAAGCTGATAGCAAGTCAATTTAAGTGAATTTAGCATGGAATTAAACTCAGACAATCGGGGGAGCAAATGATTATATACTATTTATAAAGAATTATATACATACATATATTTGTTGTTTAATTAATCATTTAGTTTGCATAGTTAGTATTCTTAATTAATTAATTAATTAAATTCGTATTATGTATTTTTTATTAGATATTATTTATTCATTAAAGTAAAGCAAAGTTCAATTATTAATTTATTTAAAATATTTAAAAAAATTTTTTTTTTATGGATGATAGCAGAGCGTGTAATTTATGAATTTAGAGAAATAGGTATAATTTCTAATACATTTATAAAGGAGGCGAAACTTTAATTTAAATGATAATAAAATGTAGAATATTTAAGACTTGATTCGAATATGAATAAAAAATCAAATGCAAATTAAATACTTTTACTATTTCATGTTTACATTTCTATTATTTATTTAAATTTTATGTAAATTTTGCATAGAAAGTTTTTAATTCTTTGCAAAAAAAAAAAAAAAAAAAAAGAACTTCTGTAGACAAACCCAAACAAAAGAATCAGTTCATCATAGATAGCCGCAGTTCAATTCGTCCCACATATACCCTCTTTATCCCATTCACACAGGGTATTAAAATGCTGCTTTATTTTTTCCAATCAACGCAGATCAAAGGAGATTTGTATAGTTCCATTTTCAAATGGATTTTGTGCAGAAGCGTGCCATCAATAAAACGAAATTAACGATGGCAAACACGAATTTTATGTCTGAGAATCAGATAAAGAAATAAGCAGAAGAAGAAGAAGAAAAAACTTCTCTAACTGAACTATATAAGCGTGATATGGATATTTATGTTTATAACTTGATCATTTGACTGTTTTTATGCGCTCATTTACGATTGCAACGAGCTGAGAATTAATAATTATTCATTTCATATTAATTAACCAATTCAAATTTTGCTAATTTTTTGTTGTTGATTTTTTTATTATTATTATTATTTTTTTTTTTTGGACCAAAGCATGGATATCATTTTGCATAAATAAGCTGGAGCTCGAGCTCGAGTTCGTTCAGCTTGATCGATATACGTTTGTCTTCCTCAATGCGGTGCGGGCTTTTGTTTCGAGATACATTTGTCGATTTCTTTAGCATCTCATCAATATCTCAAATAGTCGTATGCTGCGCACAGCCAAAACTAAAAGCTCAATAAGAAATTAATGAAATTTGCATATTGATTAAATTAGCATGCAAATTGCCAGCAAATGAGATCAGCCCAGTCCGACTTGAGGTGGCTTCAGGATGCCGTGCTTTGACTCTCAACTGGGCGGCATGACAAAAGAATTATATACATGCTTATAACCATTCCCATTGTCATTAGACTCCACAGTAATTAACAGCCCACAGAAGGTGCGAAATGGCATCTCAACATGTTTCTATCTTAGCTTTATTTTATTTTAGTTTTTAGTTTTCAGTCAGTTTTTTTTTTTTTTTTTTTTTTTTTTTTTTTGTCAATGCCGTTGCTGGTGTTTGTTTTTAGTTTTCTTTACGCTTGGACAAATTGCTCATTATGCTACAGTTGGGCTACTTTAAGTGCGTTCGTGTCCTCTGTTTTTCACACGCCAACACAACTTAAATCCGGCTCGTAATAAGCAATAATCGCCAGCTGTTTGCGATGCGGAACTCAGCCCTTCCTCTCAGCGGAAGAGAGCGTGACAATTTTATTAAAATTTAATGCCAGCGCTTCTTTTCCCACACATTTTACAACAAATGATTCAAGCATCATTTGCTAGCATATTAAATCATTCGCTTAAAGTCAACGAGTTGAGCTATAAGTGAAATTTTGTTATTATTTTAAATTAAAATGTATTCAAGCGATATTTAATTTTAGATTTAGATTTCACTTGTCCAGCTTCCTATTTAATTTATATAAAGTTCACTTTTTTTTATGTAAATTAAAATTTTGTTCTTTAGAAAAAAGCTTTAAAAGTTGAACTTAAGTTTAGCTTTTACTTTCACATAATTTTAAGCTGTTAGAGATTTCAGAATTCATCTCATTGTAGCAGAGTTCTACAACAGCCAACACAATTTAAACTTAAACTCTTTAAGCTTCTTTTTATGAACTCTATAGATCTATAAATACGAATTTTGTTCAGATTCAAATGAAATTATATAAAGTTGTAAATCTTTAGAACCAGTTTAAGTCGTAAAGCTAAGCCTTAAGCCCTTGACTATTACGAATTCTCCACAGCTTTAATCATCAACTTCTATAGCGATTTTCCTTCAGTTTACAAAACGATATAAAGCGCAAGACTCATTAAAATTTGTTACACTTGCCAGTGCAAGGACACTGATACGCTGCCAAAACTTGAGAGGGAGGGGTAAGAGAAGAGCTCAAAACAAAATAGCTCCCGGCCAAGTGCCGGTGGCAGTGGCAGTGACTTTGATTGATGAAATGAGTAAACAATAAAGCGACGCGAGGAAAATAAATTTGAAATATAATAAACAGAAATAAAAAAGAAAACAATGAAATAAAACTGAAACTGAAACTGAAAGTGAATCGAAGCGCATGAACAAAACAAATAATAAATAGCTTATGACATCAGCCGCAGTCGATAAAGCTCATCAAGTGTAAGGGGCGGCAAAATGGGGCATGACGGCTCTGATTGGCATGGGCGTGGGCGTGGGGCGTCGGGCGTAGGCGTGCCTTAGTTAGCTAATTTCTGGCTTAAACCCAAGCACACAAACCACGCCAACAGCTAGTGACAATTGAAGCACTTGAAAGTTCAAACGAGCTGAGCTCAAGTTCGAGGCAATTGTGGCATTATTGATGGCCCATAGGAAATGTAGATTTATTAATCATTATAGAAACAACGACTGATCACCTTTTAAACGGCGCTAAAAACCTTTCACGCTTTAAGCCAACGAAGGTCTGCCTTCGTTCAGCTCAGCTCAATGTAATTTCCTTAGGCAATGCCAATGGGGCTGAGCGCCAAACGATTGCCCTTTAGCTCTCCACATAACTGATTTGTGCACTTTATGGATTGACAGTTATCTCTATTGCTTTTTCAATTCAATTTGCCATTAGGCATTAGCCAAAGAGTCATTGGAAACAATTTCCAACTCATATTTGGGACAAATTTGGCCATTTGCCTGATGACAAATATTATATGAAAAATACATATGAGTGGATTATTTTTTAATTCCACTACTGAATGCTTATAAGTGAGAGTGCTCTAGACGAAAGTGCATGACTTGGAGATACCCTGATAACTGTTGAATCTCAGAGTTGCTTCTACAATTTCTTTTACTCCTTATGCGAATTTCTTGATAAAATATACAGAGCTTAAGAATCCAGCCAAAATCTGTGTATTCTTCCTAGTAACTTTTATAGCAGCAATAATTTTAAAGAAGCAACTAAAATCAATCAGCTGCATCAAAGCTGACAGAGCCAAGCTTGTGAGGGCCTTTGCCCGATCATTATGTCCAATGCCATTCATAGCAAGAATTGAAACATATTCTGCAGAGCAGACAACAGCGACAGCAAGTCAATGCACAAAATGCGGGTGTGGGAGCCAATTGCTGGTTATCTGTAGCCAGCCGAACGGAAACGCCAATGGACAGTGACATGTGGCAAAGGCTGCATGCTGAGCGGCAATGTGTGTGGCTGTTGGCCACATGTGGCTAGCCAACACAGCATATGAACAAGCACCACCACAACCACCACCAGCAGCAGCAGCAGCAGCAGCACGAATGTTGTTTATTATGCGTAAATAATGAGCGACATTAAAAGCAAATGCTCTGGCGTTGCGTTGCGTTTCGAGCATCGAACATCGCTCATACGCCCCATTGCTCGCTGGCGGTCAGCAACATAAAGTTGATCATTTTACACTTTGTCTGCGACGCAGACAGCCTAGCTAACAACAACAACAACACACGAATGCATAGAGCACTCGCATGTGTGTGTGTGTGTGTGTTTCGACGAAAAATCACAGCCACTTATTAATAAGGCGCCCAGTCAAGGAGATGCTATGGTCAGAATGTCGTCAAAAATGTTCAGATGTGAATTCTTTCAAGTTTCGTGACTAATTTGCATTGATGCGACTTGGAAATTAATAGATCAGTTTCATATCCATCAAGCATTATGATCGCTGAGCACTGAACTGGTTTCCCCCTCACGCAGCACACAACGATAATAGTGTTCAAGTGGAAACAAAACTTGTTTTAGAGTTAGTGAGAAAAAAAAAAAAAAACGCAGCTAGAGAAAAATACTAAACTCAAGTGTCAAATAAACATTTTTGAAAAATTCATTTGGCGCCAGTTGGAAAATTTAGGCGCCAGCTGCGGTTCGCAAATATTTACAAATAAAAAAAAAAAATGTAAATAAAATGAAAATAAATAAATAACACAAATTAACTTATTAGTGAGCGCTTCAACAGCTACAGCAATTGGCCAATAGTTAATATATAATATACATATAGTTCGATAGAACTCTGAACTTTGCGTAATTTAATGGACCTGAAAGGCAAAAGATACAGAATAAAATAAAAATTCATGATAGCTGCCCACGGATTAGCCAAAACCGCAAATCAACTCGTTTTCAACTAGCAAAATTTATGTAAACAGGAATCATCGCAAAAATAAAAAAAAAAAAAGAATTTATAAAATATGTAAAATTCTTCATGCGTCAAAAGTTAAATCGAATCAACATAAAACAAATAAATGTTGCCAATATTGAAAAGCGTGCAAGACATTAAAGCTGAAGACAAAAGACAACGACTTGTAGCTTCAATTTAGAGAGTTGCGTTTTAGGTTTTTACTTTCATATCAAGTTTTTCAAAACTTTGTCATAAATTAGATTTAAATGCTGTCTATAAAATACATCTCACAAATACATATACTGCAACAGGTGCAAAGAAATCAAAGACTGTGGCTGCAAATTCACTTTTATGTTTTAAAAGCAGCTTTTCGTGAATTTAAGTTGAGCTATTTGATCTCAACTTTAAAGTGGCCCAGGCTTTCAGATTGAAACCCGAAAAAATTCAAATTTCGAAGAGCTTCAAAGGGGTGAGGAATACATATTTTAAATTCAAATCAAGTTGAAGCAATAGGAGGAGGATAGAAACAAAAGCTGTGGAAAGTAAATGTCCATTAAAAACAGGTGAGGAAATTAGCTGGATGTTATATAATTTTATAACTGATAGAATTTATATAGTTAAACTAAATTAAACTGCCACGCGGAAAATAAAAGTAGTAAAATGAACATTAATGTGATTATTATTAAAAGCACATTAAAAGCTTTTATTGATATTTGATTGTTATATGTAATACATGTTATATGTTATGTTATGTATATATGTTATGTAGTAAATGCTCATTTAATGCTTATAAAATGTATAGTCTGATACACTTTATATTGCACTGCAGGCATGAGCTTTGATCAATTCATGATATATAATCAATTTATCAATGATTTAGAAAAGCTTTTAATGAGATTTAAATGCATTTTAGAAATTTCATATTGAACTGTAGCTATACATCAATAAAATCGTCAAGTTTGATCTTGATATTAATTTAAAAAGGCTTTTAACTGAAAAAATTTTATATTTGTATTTTAAAAAGCTTTAAATAGGCTTTTACTTTAAAACATAAAATATATAATTTCCAGTTTTGATACATATAAAATCTTTCTCTAAGTACTTTAATTAATTACTAACAAGTCCCATATGAAACTCTGAAACTTAATTATAATTGCTTTTGGCATAAGCAACATCCCCACAAACACTTAAAAATCGTAAGTGCTTTTGGGGTTTTTATTGGAATGCAATAAAAGATGGAAATGAATTGCTCTGAATGAATTGTGTGTGCTGCATGAGGGTCAATTTGTTGATAGGCATCGCATCAAGTTTGTCTTTTGCAACATGCAACATGCACATTGGCGTGACAAAGTAATTCACTTGCTCCGCAATCCCGTTTCAGGCGCTTTAAAGCCAGAAGCGTGCGTTGGCTCCACGGCTCGACCTCAACGTGAGGCACACAGCTTTCAAGCGAAACGACCCGGTCAAGTGGCTGGTCGGACTGTTGAAGTTGGACTCGTGGTGTGGCTCAACCAAATTGACGTCTGCTGCCGCCGACTGTTGACTGTGATCCACAGACAGACCACTGGCTGGCTGGCTAGCTGGCTGTTTGTCTGGCTGTCTGAGTGGCGCTCAAGTTGCTGTGCATGTCACGTCTGACCTTGACGCCTCCTTCTCAACAACAACAACAACAACAACAACAGCAAAAGCAAAAACAAATAAACAAACAAAAAGTGAAATGAAACACAAACTGAGCAGAAGATTATCGGTCAGCAAACGAAGTGAACAACCAAAAATAAAGCCATAAGCAATAAAACTCAAGCCGTGGAATGCCACAGATCCAATCCGATCTCTGACGTCAGCTGAGGTGCCAGCATATTCACACTTCGATCGCAACACTCGTAGACTTCTTAGCTCCGATTCTGACTTAATATCCGGCAGCCTCTTTCAGCTGTGTATAAATATATAATTATGGCCATAAAACCACACACACCCAGCTATCATAATTTTTAATTGCAATTTTAAGCCATGCTTTTATGATCTAATTAAAGCACGAGATCGTTACTTTGGATGAGCTAAATAGAATGCAAAGCCCACAGAATAATAATCATGATAATAAAGACTTCTCAACTGTCGTCCTTCGACTGTCGCAGCAGCCCAATCAGAAAGGACTGGCATATTTATGGCCATTGATTGGGGGAGCGAGCAACAGAGAGAGAGAGGGAGAGAAACACCATACGAAACGGTTCTATCATAAATCCATATGATTCCAGTTATTTGGTAACAGTTGCCCAACCAAACGACAACAAACCGTCGACCGCTTCCGATAAACAAAACTGCAAAAGCCAAATGTGAACCGAGTGCCATAAAAGATCCAAAAGACCTTAGATCCGTACTGAGCCGAAGAGCTGGGCACAGTGGGTTGAAAGACCAAACAAAAGGCTCTTTAAATGCACTCGAATGTATAAGAAAAAATAATATATAGCTTGGAAAACTATTTCTGATTTAAGAAAATACTTATGTAATATTTATTTATTAATTAAAAAATAATAAATACATTTTTTATTTAAAAATTGCAATATCTTAGATTAATTTAACTATAAGTTTATTATTTAAGCATAAATGAACCAAAGTAATTTTGGTTATAATTATCAAAAAAATTAATAATAAGTAAGAATTTATAGTAAATTATAAGCTATTATTTTTAATATTTTTATACTATAAAAAAAATATTATAAAAAAAAATGTAAATCTTTAAATCAAGCAGTCAAAATAAATTTCTATTGAGATTCTTTAAAAATTCTTACAAATCAGGTAATTTATAGAAAATGTAAAACTGGGCATAGTTTATATATATTTAGCTCAATTAAAGTTTCTTTAATTAAAACTACTTAGCTAAAAAAAATGTCTATAAAATATTCCATGTAAATAGTTTTTCCACCACCGTGCCACGACCTAAGACAGCCGTAAAACTGGGTAAAAGAAAAATTGCAATGTCTGAGGCGCGTTAAACAAAGCGCTTCCGTTCAGAATGGCTTAAACCTCTTTTGGGCTGGGGCGCAGCGCAGCGCATCACATCGCATTGAAACTGGGCCAGCATATAAACCATGGACCAAAAGCTAACGAAACAAACACAGAGCCCACAAACGAGCCGATGATGTCGACTTGGGCTCTGCGCTCAGCGCTCTCAAGTTCATTTTAACGGCTGGTTGGGCAGGCGATCGCAGACCTTCCAGCCAACAACAAAAGAAATACTGCACAAAACTGTAAAGCAGCTACAACAACAGCAACAACAACTCGTCACATAGTCTCAAATTTATTTGTTCATCTTGATCTATGAAAGCATAAAATTTAATGGAGCATTATGAAAGAGTCTTTATTTTTTTTTTTTTTTTTTGAGTGTAGAACAAAAGACGAACTACGCCGTCGACGTTGTCGTCGTCGTCGTCATCGTCGTCGCTGCTTGAGGTGCATTTTGAAGGAGGCGTTTACCAAGAGGCCAACACAAATGATGTTCTATGCAGTTATTTGACAGGCACTGACAGACACGGACAGAGACGAGCCGCGGCAGATAGACAGACGACAGCTGGACGTCAGTGCGTCGTCTCGGGTTAAGCATCATCAGCAACGGCAGCTCCGTTTGGACAGCTCTTGCACGTTGAACGCATTGTACGGCCGTGTTAATTACACATGCAAAATGGCAAATGGTCAGCTGGCAGCAACGCCCCCAACACCCCAGCCCACCCCAGCCCCCTTTTGCCACCAGCAGCGTTTGATAATTACAGCTAGTCAGTCAGTGGTTGCAGCTGGCTGCCCCACCACCAGCACCACCGCGTACCCAATTTAAATGGCGCCTGCGCAACCACAGCTGGGCCCATAGCCTATGGCTCCAATGGGGCGCAACCTGTGCGAGCAAACACATTCGAAAATCGCTGAGCCGCACAAAAAGCCAAGTATTTAACTGATTATGCCCAGCAGCCATGTTGATCTAATGAGGTCGATCTACAGCTGAGATAAGGCATAGTTGGAGTACAACTATGTAAGGGCTAAGAGGTTCACAGTTTGATCTAATTGAGCAACGCGCAACCTACCTCAAGCAGGCGTAATAAGTGATATTTTAAGAGCTGATTATACATAAACAATTAATTATAGTTTTTCTTTTACTTTTACTTACGTAAGCAGATGGTAATTTTATTGACTATAAACAGTAACATTAACATACTTGACTTGGCTTGCAACTAAATTATGAATATAAATATTCGCAAAAATCTTTTCCTGCCCACAAATAGCTCTCATAAATTTTAATATACTCATTCTCATTCCCTTTATAAAATTTCGATGCCATATATAGCTCTTAGCCTTTCTAAGTTTAGCTTTAATTATTCGCTAATTTTGTTACGTCAAACCAAAATGCTCTACAATTCACATAAGTTTAGATGATGATGATGATGGTGATGATGATGAGAGCACGTCGGACTCGAGACGTTCAACTTTATTCGCAGCCTCAGATGCGAGACGGCCTGGCAACGCGCTTCTGTAGGCGGATGTGAAATTCGGGTTTTTTTACCAGCAACAACAACAATAACAACAACAACAACAACAATATGGAGTAGTCAAAAGCTAAACAATAAATGTGACTGGAAAACTAGTTGCTGCGGCTGGAAATTAAGACTAGAATTTATTAGCGACTGTGGGGAGCTTTCGTTGTTCGTTGTAAATTGTCTGTGACTGTGACTAAAGAGTGTAGGAGAGCAGCTAAAGTGCTTTTTCTTCTTCTTCTTCTACTGAGCTAATTTTGTGCTAATTCAAGTGACTTGAACAGACTTTGGCAATGTGTAAAATGTATTTGTTTGTAGCCAAGACAAAGTCAGATCAAAATGTCCAAAGAAGGTCAGCATGAATCACAACCGTATACACACACACACACACACACACACTACATACTCTCAGACGGCCTACACACAATACACCAAATAGACAATTTCGTTGGCTGATTGAAGTCATCATCAGTTCTTGATGTTTATTGTAAGCAACGAGCAGATGCATAAATTATACAACTACAACGGTTCGATGACTCGCCAAAGACCACACAAACCCTAACACTATATTCATACCAATATACATATATATCTATATGAATGTGAAGTTCATCTTAACAATAGCCGCAAAACGCATTGAAACGCAGCATTCATTAATTTCCACTTAACTGTCAGCATATTAGTTTTATGTTCGATAATCACAGCATATATCGTATTATAATAGATCATGGTACTGTTTGCTCTTCTTCTTCTATTGTGGTTTATTGCTGCACTTTGTGGGGCGTTCACTTGTTTTTTCTGTTAACCCTGTAAAGTTTTGTCTGTAATTAATATTTTTCATAGTGCCGAAGGTCGCACTTCTGTTCGATGTGCAGGTAAGATCGTCAAAGTTGTTGTTTCGCTCTTCGAATGTTGTAAAATATTTGAAAGATTCTCATGGTGCATTTACACATGGAAACATAATTGTCAGCAGCTATGTTGGTTTAATTGATTAATGTTTGGCTTGGGTTGGCTCCTATTGAAAACTACACAGATGTTGGTTTCCAAATTATTATAGATCAATGTAGGTAGTTCTGCTTTTATGATGTATTGTAAATAACTTCATCGATTCTCCTGAAGATTAAATAATAGGCGAAGGTCGCTGGTAACTTAATAATTCTTCATAAAAAGAAATACACATGTAGTTTGAGAAAAGGGATGGAGATGGGGCTACAGATAGGAATGTGAATAGATAGATAGATACAGATACAGATACAGATACAGATACAGATACAGATACAGATACAGATACAGATACAGATACAGATACAGATACAGTTACAGTTACAGTTACAGTTACAGATACAGATACAGATACAGATACAGATACAGATACAGATACAGATACAGATACAGATACAGATACAGATACAGATACAGATACAGATACAGATACAGATACAGATACAGATACAGATACAGATACAGATACAGATACAGATACAGATACAGATACAGATACAGATACAGATACAGATACAGATACAGATACAGATACAGATACAGATACAGATACAGATACAGATACAGATACAGATACAGATACAGATACAGATACAGATACAGATACAGATACAGATACAGATACAGATACAGATACAGATACAGATACAGATACAGATACAGATACAGATACAGATACAGATACAGATACAGATACAGATACAGATAGACTCGGATATTCCCACAGTGGCATAACCGCTTACAGCACAATTCATTTGCATGGCATATGGCCACAGTTTTGTCTGGCTTTTGAATATGCATGAATACGGTAGGTTCCATTGTGAAGGTAAAGCGAAGAATATATAAATAAAAAATAAATGTAAAAATAAAATACGCCCACATAAATAAACGAGCGTTTTATTTACAACCAATCGACACTTTTACCGCACAGTGCTCTCTCTTTTTTTTTTTGTATCATAATTTTCTGAGATTTTTGTTGTTTTTTTTTTTATGCATTGGTATTTTGTGCTGATTTTTATTTTTATCGGCGTATAAATTTTAATGGCAGTTTAATTTGCTCGGCACCTTACGCCCCATTTGCATAACTTTTTGCAACAATGAGTTAATTTGCTCCTTTTTAGTCGCGGCGGTTGCCGCCGCCGACTCGTGCTACGTTTTAAATTTAACGTTCAATTAAATTTTATTGTTTCGTACATAATGAAGAAATAAAATGCGCCGCCGGCCAACAGCAGCAAACCAACAACAACAACAACAACAACAAGAGCAACAGCAGCAGCAACAACAACAACGGAGGCTGCAGCATGTCCAATCAAGCGATGCCACCAAATTGTTGCATACCGCAGCGCTGACCTTCGGAATTTGGTTTTTGGCTTTTTGGATTTAACTGCGCTGCACTTGATTTTTCAATTTCGATTTTAGCCAATACCCGGCCATATGCTTGCAAAA